TTGTTTACACTATAGTATGATTGAAAAGGGACACGAGAAAGGTTACTATCCTCCCTGGCTCGCCCTTAAATATGTCGATATCGACGAGGTTTCTTACCCGACAGATTGAAGTCAAGCTCTAATTTAATAAGGGCCAAAGAACGCTGGGTCGAGGACTTCTTCGCACAATTCAACAATCTTTACGCCACTCAAAAGAAATGGGAAAAGAGGTGCTTAAGTCTATCGAATTCCTGATCCCATTAGCTTACATGCATCAACCCATACTCGTAATGGTAAGTGACTTTACAAAGAGAAAATTGGTTAGGCAATTGGGGTTGGAAAAAAACACCGAATAAAGTCTGCATATGTTAACTTGCAATAAACACTCCTGCCCACCTTTACAATGAAGGTCCAGGACAATAATAGTTTACAATTTTAAGACAGTTCGGTTGAGGAGCGTTACAAATTTGGGCAAGAATGCTTATACTAATCCGACATGTTCGAGTTTCATTCTAAAAAATCTCTCCAACCCTAATCGTCAGGTGAGGGTTGGCAGCATAAAACCATTCATCATTTGGTTGTAGCAGGGTCGTCCCATACAATCACCAGCAACTGCTGCCTGCATGTTTGTGTCTGACTATTCACACATAGCATTTCATTTTCCAATTATGATTACATTTGTCTTCTCCTCTCGTCTGCGTACATGTTCTGTCGGTTCGTCGTCACCTAGTGACTCACTTCACCCCTTCTGCTGCCTTCCCAGCCTAATTTCAGCCTATCGTTTTGACAACCACACATCTGGACCCGCGTCAAAGCGTGCTTCTCTTGCCCACCACAACACTCATTCTGGCATGCTAGCGGCCCAACAACCAACTATGGAGAGTGTGCTCGCCGGGCGGCCTCACAGCACGTGACAACAAGTCCGCTCTCGGTCGGCCGCCTGCCACCGATAGCCCGGGCCCCGTGACCGCCCGGAGAGAGGGCCGGTGCGCCGTGAGACCCCGAGGCCCTATATTGGTATCGTGAAAAAGGGGACCCGAGGTCCCGGTATGGCCGACCTAGCGATTTGGGCCATGCGCCTCTTCAGACCAAACGAGAAGTAGGCTCAGCCAACTGTCTACTGGGCCACAGACGATGGAGTGGATACATGTCAAGTCATTCCCGTGGCAGTTGCTGGGCCATTGAGTTACCCTTCGGTCTCATGTGCTTCTGCCGCTCTCTTGGACTGCCATTTTAGATGGCCCCAGTCTTGTTGGCTCCTCATGCGTGGGTTTATTGGGGCCCAATTATGTTTGCCCCGCTCCTCTCACCGAAAGTGCTGCCTTCAGAAGTGGTTGTGGTTGACATCCATTTAAAGTGAAATTGTATATGCTTGGCCAATTTCCGTCAAGATAACAGCCTTCGATGCTGGTAAAAATGTGGTAACCATTCATCTGTGTTGTCTCTCGAAGGACATCATCCGAACAGGATATCATTTTCAGATAAGATGCTGAATTTTCCCACAATCAGATGAGCAGGTCTCGTGTTTCACTTAACTTTCACTTGGACTTCCTTCCAGAAAAGGTATTCTCATCCAAGCAGGAGTGGACCGCACTCTCGTCCTCTCCTGAACTGGTCTCATCTTCACCCCCTGCGGGACTCGAACCCGGGTTGTGATAGTTCAGCTTACCATCTCAACAAGTCACTATGCTACACCGCCACGAGTGTCTTTTGGTCAAAAGGAGCAGAAGTTAATTACAAGGGAGCTCAGGTCTTTCCCATATCACATTTTTGTGGTGGGATTGTCGACGAAGTTGTATTTGATATGGTAGTTCACACCTATTCATATCATTATTGGAAAATTCAACCATCTGCTCTTCATCTCCTTAGATGAGATATGATGAATACAATCCTTTCTCAG